TAACCCTTTAATTCTTTCTACCTCGTTCGTCCCCTGATATATGAGCACTGGCCACGCTGTCTATGCTGAGTATGGCTTCAGCCCAGGCCCTGGCTGGCCATACAAAATGGCCTCACTTGCGTCTGTTTCTAAGCTTCCTTTTGCAGTTATTTAAATTTCCTGCTGAGTGGATTTACTTGGCTTTCCTTTAGTTATTTTGGCTTAATTTTTATACCATCATCAATGATTGTTGCATTTGTAGAATATTTTGAGATTTCCTTTGTCTCCTAATACTCCCTCCATTGCTAACACTCTTCCATGTGGCCGAGAAAAAAATGAATTTCCTGTGCAGAAGAGCAGTATCAAATACATTTTGTGTAATTTTTAAGTCGATGTATAATTTACCTCCATAATCACATGAAAGGCACATGTAAATTACATTTACATAAAATGCACTGGTTTTAAGTGTACAGTCTGCCAAGTTTTGCATAAACTATACACTTGTGTAGCCATAAAAAAATAGAAAACATTTCAAAGAGAGTCCCCTGAGCCTGTCTCATCAGTTCTAGGACCCCTTGGCCCTTCGCAGTGATGGCCAGCAGGGTGACTTCTGTACCATAATTACTGCAGGGATTCCGCAGGCCTGGGAGCACGCCACGTGGGTTTTCTGTGTCTGGCTTCTTTTGTTCAGCTTTATGTCTGAGCAATTCATCCACATTGTAAGCGTATCAGAATCTTTTCTTTCTCTGCACCAATTTGTTTTCTGCAATTCTGTTTACAGACGTTTCCGTTGCTCCTGAGTTTTAGCGCTATGAATAGAGCTACTATAAACGTACTTGCACACACTTTTTTCCCTTTTTTGGGATGTGCTTTTCTTTCTTTTGGGTAAATACCTGAGAGAGAAACTGATGGTTCATAGGGAAAGTATCTGTTTAGCTTTATGAAAAAATTGCCGAAGTTCTCCCCAGTGGCTGCCCCAATCCTTAGCGTTTGCACCTGTAGTGTCAGCCACAGGAAGCGCAGCAGCCTGCAGACACGAGCTCTGATCACGAAGCCCAAGCCCTGGAGGGACGAGGACCTCCATGTGTCCCTAGGAGGCTCCTTCACTTGCTCAGTGGTGCCTTGGCAGCTAAGTGCAGCTGCATGATCAGATGCTGGCCGGTGGGGTCACAAGGCAGGAATCCGACCCACAGCTGCCATCACCCTGCTCATCTCCGTCCCTGGTTGGAACAGGGATGGGATGACTGGAGCCCCAGGGAGGGGGTGACCCCCAATACCAGGGCAGAATGCAGAAGGAGCTGAGGCCTCCTAACCACCATGGGAGGGCTCTGTTCATCTCGGGTCAGCCCAGCGACTCCCCAGGCCTCTGTGACATGCAGCCTTCGTGTGTGCGGTGGAAGCATGGGACAGCATGGGAGAGGCTCTACTGCAGGTCTGATCCTGCAAGCATGCAGTTTCCATGACGACAGTCCCAGCATGTCCACTGTGAGGGGAACAGGAGCTCGAGCTGTCCCCTGCCCCCTCCTGGCCATTGCACTGGCTCCCCTGGCCCAACCACTCCCTGCAATGGAGAGGCCTAGGTTGGGGGCTGTGCTGGGACTGTGCCTGGTCCCTCCAGGAGGGTGGAGGGGACACCAACCAGAACAGGCACAGTGGCTCAGATAGGAGGGGTCCACCTTGCTAGGTAGCCAGTGGCCTAGGTGGGGTGTGGAGAGGTGGTGCTGAGCTCCCGCCTGGAGGGACTGCATACAGCTGTTCTCAGTTCTCCTCTGCCTAGGCTTCACCATCTCCAGACGTGGGCTGCCCACTTCTGCCTGGGGCCTGATGAAAGGGAGCAAGTCTGGGGTTCCCGCCTGCCCCGATGACTGGCAGGTTCTCCATTTACCTGTTGGTTGTCACAGGGGCTCAGATCCCTCAGGGGACTTAGGTGCAGACAAAACATCCACAGGGCACAGCGGCGTCTCTGCTGGCACTCCTGTCTCCACTCTCTTCCTGTCTGGCCTCAGGGTCTTTGCACGGCAGCCTCTCTTGCCAACACCCTTTCCTCTTGCCCTCTCCTCGTGGGCCACTTCCTGTCACTCAGACCTCAGCTTCCACGTCGCCTTCCATGAACACTCACTCAGAAAGCACAACTTTCCCCTTCATACCTTTGGCCTGCAGTCGACTGTGGCTCAAAGAAGCTGTGAAAAGCCCAATGGTGGGTAAAGGGGCACCATAGTATAACCAGTTTCACCCATGCCTGACTGTTTTTTGTTTGGTTTTTTTGGTACTGGGGATCAAACCTGGGACCTTGCACTTTCGAGGCAGGTGGTAGAACCACTGAGCTAAATCCCCGGCCCTTGCCTGCCTGTTTTACTGTTGGTCTGGGGTACGAGCCCCGCAGATGCAGCTACCTTGTCCATCTCCTCCCGCCATGGGATCTGGTGCCCAGGCACAGCTGGCAGAATTGGCACACAGTAGCTGCACAGGCAAGACTGGGGTGATGTGAGCATAGGAGTGCGGTTGAAGGCACGAGCTAAGAAAGCAGATCATAGACAAGCTCTGTGATCCATGGCCAGTCAGTTTCTCCATGCCTCAGTTTCCTCATGTGTAAGGGGAAGAACTGATCGCCCCATCTCCCTGTTGGGAGGGTCGGAGGAGGCAGACGGTGGACCTTAGAATAGTTTCTGGGGCATGTGGTGAGTGCACTGCAAACTATAGCTTTCGTCTTCGAGTTGCCACTGCCCTTGCCAGCACCACCACTCTCACCAGCGCATCACTGTCACTACCACTGACTACCATCGCCACCTCCATGATCACCAGTACTGTCACCAGCACTGCCACTACCAGCAGCACTGCCATCAGCACCTTATGTGCCTGCCACGGTGTCCTGAGTAGGCTGCCATGTCCAGGGCCAGACGATGGGGACCAAGGGACTCAGGTCTTCCTGGGCTTGGGAGAGGTGGGGCAGTGACATTTCCCCATGTGACAGCAGCCCCTGGAGTTGGGGGACAGGGAAGGCTGTGACTTTCTTTGGAAGAATGAGCCCCATGTGCAGCACTTTTGGCTCTGCAGATGTGATGCTTGTTGCCATGGTGACTGTCCTAACAATAACCTCCCAGAACTGATATTCCCCACAACCGCCCCAGCTGCCACCTGGGAGGGAGAGCCCTCCTTGCTTATGACAAGGACAAGGTGGGAGGCAGAGCTGACATGGGGGTGGGGGCGCAAGAGGACCTTCCTGAGGGGCAGGGGGAGGGCCTCTCTGACCAGAGTCAAAGGCAGGTGCAAGGGCTCCTGGGGACTGGGACCAGAGTCATAGCTGGAGACCTGTCACTGAGACGGAGGAGGCCTCTGGGGCTGGCAGTGGGGCCTGGGCAGAGATCCCGGCCCCCGGGCCGGTCAGGCAGCTTTGCATCCTGCCTTGAAGGTTTCAGTCCAGAGGAGGGGCCGTGGGGTCCCAGGGGCTAAGAGTAGAGAAGGAAGGAGCACCCTAAGGACTCCAACTTTTTGTGGTCCTGGGCAGCCTCCCTGCCCTCTGAAAGATGACCTCACAAGGCCACCCAGCTGTGCACAAGTCTTCGGCCACAGGAGGCCATGTGAGTGTGTGAATGGGTGTGCACTGTGTGTTTCTGTGTACATTTGTGTGTGTATGACAGTATACGTATATTTGTGTGTATGTGTGTTTGTGGGTATGTGAAAATAAAAGGCATGGGAAACTGGGGTTTGAGTCCTGGCCACCTGTGGGCTGTGTGACCATGGGCAGGTTACCGGGCTTCTGTCTCTCTTGTCCCCTCTAGTAAAACGGGGGTAATAATAACAGGATTGAGAAGTACACGAGGAAATCCTAGTAAAATGGATGCAGGCACTGTCCTCAGTCAGCTGTTGCTGGGTCCCAGCACTGTCCCAGCTGGACTCCTGGTGGGAGGTGTGGCTTGCTCTCCTCTAGTCAGACACAACCGAGAATAAACTGCCTGTCTGTGGCTGGCCAATTGGGGTGGCCCAGGGTTTCCCATGTGTCTGTTCCCGGGGCTGAGGTGACACCAGGGTGCCAATGGGAGCACCCCTCCTGCCTGGCCTGCTATGCCCAGTGGAGGGGGGGGGGCCCTTTGGCTGCTCAGCTGGGGACTTCTGCCTGGGCCCCACCCTGGGCCCCGGGGGAGAGGGACTTTCGGCCTGCAGCCTTGTGCCAAACGAATCCCCTCTGGGAAGGGTCCAAGAAGCCTCCTTTTCTGCTCCCTGAAGGATACTTCTCATGGTCCCCAGGGAGCCCTGGGCTGAGGGCCAGGCCGGGAATCTGCCCCTGGGCGGCAGCAGCAGGCACATCCACAGCTGGCTTGATACTCCTCCTCTTCCTGGCCTCCAGGGCACTTTCAAGAGGGGCTTGGGAGAAGGAGTGTGGAGTGGATCCTCCTCTTCCAGGACTAAGGGAGGGCAGGCAGCTGAACCAGGCCCAAGGGACCCGTGTGTCCCCTATCTGGGCAGGCTGGCTGTGAGCTCTCACGTCCACAGTCCCTCCCAGGGCAGCCTGTTTCCCTGGCTCAAGGCCTGTGGGCCTGGACTGCAACTGTCCATTCTGGGGACCCCAGGGACCCCAGCCACCCGTCCTAGGAGAAGCGAGGAAGGGACTGGGGCCATGGGGAGGGAGCCCAGCCTGGGAGGCTCCTGAGCGCTGGGGACCGGGAAGGGTATGAGGAGCCAGTCTTGGGGAGGGCGGCACAGGAAGGCCGGCCCCTGCCTGTGGGCTCTGGTTCCTCTTGTCCTGGCGAAGGGGGGTCCCTGTGCACGGTCCCCGGTGAGCGGGGGAAGGGGGTGCGGGGCTCCAGGCGCTGGCGGGCCGTGGGTGGGCCCGGGAGCCGGGCGAGCGCGGCGTGCGGGCGCAGTGCGGCGCGGGCGCGGGTGTGCGCGCGGGGTGCGGGCTCAATGCGCGTGCCGGGCGAGGGTGCGGGGCGGGGCCGGCGGCGCCCGCGCTCCCCGCGCGTAGGTGTGCGGCGCGCTCCTGGCGGGGACCGAGCGCGCAGATCTCGCGTGCGCTCGCCGCCCAGCCCGGCCCCCGCCCGTGCAGCCACCGTGCCCGCGAGCGGGAGCCGTGTCGCCGCCGCCGCCCGAGCGCCGCTGAGCGCACGCAGAGCCCGCCGCCGCCATGGCCACCACGGTGACCTGCACCCGCTTCACCGACGAGTACCAGCTCTACGAGGACATTGGCAAGTAAGAGCCGCGCGCGGACAGGGGGGCGGACCGGCCCGGCCCCCACCCGGCCTGGGTCCCGCGCGCGGCCCTGACCGGGACTGGGGCCGCAGCAGGTGTCGCCGGCGCCGGCAGACGTGACGCATTTGCGGCGGGAAGGTCGCGGCGCGGAGGCAGGAAGGGGGCGCCCGGGGCGCGCGCGGTTCCCACACCCGGGCTGTGGCAGGGGCCGCTCCTGCCAGGGTCCCCTGATTCGTCTGGAAGCAGAAATTGAAGAGGGGGGGCGAGATCGGGTAGCCCAGGCCAGGCACCCGGGCAGGGAGCAGGGCGCGGCGGGGACCCGCGTGGCTCCTGGTTTGGGGACCATCGAGGCAGGTGGGGGGCGCATTGGGCGGGGACAGCGAAGGGGCGCGAGGGCGGCGCAGGTGGCCGTGGGGAACAGGTGCCTGGCGCGGCGCGCGTCCGAGGGTCCCTGTGTGCCCGCGCCGAGTCGTCTGTTCTGGGCAGGTGACTGCCGGCCTCCCTTGGTGGCCTCGGACCCGGGGGCGCGCTCCCTTGCCTCTCCTGAGAGGCCTCCCCTCGCTCCTGTCCCTGCTGCGCGGCGGGGGCGCTGGCGCGATTTCCTCTTACACATCCACCAGCAAATCCGTTTTTTTCCTTTACTAAAAAAGCGCCTGGTGCACCCTTGTGGTGGCGAGGGACGCTGATCACTGGTCCCCGAGCATGGCCGGCGGAGGGCTGCGGGCGCCTTCCCTTTGCCTGCACGTGCAGAGGATTCGGGTCAGGACCTGCGTGGAGGGAATCGGAACTGATGGTCGGGTGTGGGGCCCGGGGCACCTGGCACCTGGCACGCCGCCGGGCTGCCGGGGGCCTCCACCCCGTCTAGACTTTGGCTCCTCTCGGTGGACCTCGGAGACGCGGGCCTGGAAGACCTTCCCAGAGCTGCCTGGGGCTGGCTAGAGGCCAGTGGGGAAGAGGGCGAGGGCTTAGGAGTCCTCAGGAGGGGATGACCCCAACTTAGACTCTGTGCCCTCCGTGCGGGGACAGGTGGCTCTAGTGTGTGTGACAGGCTCTCTGAGGAGGGCAGTGGGGGTCTCTCCCTGGGAAGCTTCTAGGCATCTTCTCTGTGTGCCAGGGCACAGGCTCGGACTGACCACCTAGTTGTCCTCCCAGGAGCCCCTCTCTGGGGACCCAGCAGTGGCCACTGCCACCTACATGGGAGAGGAGGCCAGGAGGGTGACTCTGGGCAGGGACAGGTGAGGGGCTGGCAGCAGCTCCCCAGGCAGCAGACAGAAACTTGTGGGGAGGCCGCACTGTGCCAGGCGAGAAGTGAGGCCTGGCATCCAGGGCCACTGTGATAGGGACAGGAACAGAGGTGTCCCAGCTAGGACAGTGGCTCCCCCAGCAGGCTCCCATGCAACCTCTGATAGGCACTTTGCTTGAGGGGATGGGGCACCTGATGCGGCCCCCAGGTCCTGGGCCATGAAGCCTAGTTGTTGACAGCCCCTGCCTGGGGCACAGTGGTGTTGCTTCCCAGCCCCAGGTGGACTTGTCCAAGTTTATTTAAAGCCACAGCCCTGGCACCATGTCAGGATGAGCTCCCTTCTTGGCCGAAGGGCCAGGTCATGGCCACAGCTGCTGGCTGGTCCCCTCCCCTGCCCCGTCCTCCTGATCTTCCCCTGGGGCTGCCCAGGGCAGCTGTGGCAGGGCAGTGAGCGTCCTTCCTTGCCCAGGAGCAAAGCAGGGGGGCCCTCAGCCGGTGTGGACCAGCCAGGAGTGCCGTTTATGCTGCTTTCATTGCGTGGATTTAAAAAACCTCACAATTCTGTGAATAATAAAAGAAACATTGCTGTCTCTTCTACCCAGAGGTGAAAACCTGTTCATCATTTTGGCTTTAAGTCTTCTTTTTAAGTTATAAGATGTAAAGCATTCTGCATAAATACTAGCCTGTTTCCTGTGCAGCTAGGCATATGTGCCCTTCCTTACTGGCTGTGTTTGGGACATTTGCAGACAGATGGAAGTGGCCACACAGATGTGCAGAATTCTTTCATCTTTTCTTTGAAGTTTCTGTGAAAATCCAGACCAGGTTTTCTCGCTCAGCCTCGGCTTACTGACCCTGCTTGCGCCTGTGCGTGGTGACCTCAGACCCCGGTGGCAGTCCGCAGCGGGAGCCCGAGTCATCCCTTCCACTCTGGGTGGAAATTTGGGTTTGCCTTCTGCTTTCCACTCTCCCCTGCACGTGGCCATCACTGTGCATGGGTTTGCTGGTGCAGGATGAGAGTTTCTTTGGTGTTTATCCTTGGCAGGGGCTGCTGGAGGGGTCCGGGCCACTGTGGCCAGCTCTGGCCATGTAGGGGACACCCCTGCCCCAGCCCCAGTGCAACATGTGTGTGTGGTGGGCAGGAAGCTGCCTCTCATTGTGGATTCAGGCTTTTACTTTGGGGGAGTTGATGATCTCCTCAGAGGAAGGCAGCTCCCCTGAGGTTTTGGATGCAATTCCAGCGGTTCACGAACCCTTCCTGATGGGGGGAGACCAGGGCCGTGGCCCATGTGGTCTTAGCATCTAATGGGTGCTGATTGATTCAAAGGGTTGATTTTATTTGATGTAAGCTGTCCAGGAAGGGACTCCCCAGCCCTGTTTACCAATAGGCACCTGAAGCTCTTTGTGGGGAGGTTGGCAACTTGCTCACATCCAGGCAGCAAGGAAGAACTCCGACCTCCGCCCAGCAGGTCTCCTGCCAGGCTTCACATGGGCCCAGAAGTGACCTTGATGTGTCCTTGACTCCATCCAGCGCCCTTAGTCAAGTTGGTGGAGAATGCCCCGTGTGCTGGTGTATGTGACCCGCGCCGTGCTGGGGGCAGCGCTGCCTGCTCTTGGTGCTTTCTGTGAAGGGCCTGCTCTAAATCGCCATGGCCTGCTAGGTAGTTAATAGATAAACTCAGAAAATCTGAGCAGATCGATTTTGGAGTCTCCCTAGCTCTGAAGGCGGTTGCCAGGGAAGAGAGGAATCCGTGGAGGAGGAATCTGGTGATTGCGGTCGTGTTTGTTTTCTCCCTGCCTCCCTGAGCACACCTGGCCTTCCTGCCTCAGGGCCTTTGCCAGTGCTGTCTCCATGCACACCTCTGCCTCCCCAGCCCTGACCCTTGCACTGGGCCTCAGCCTCTGAGAGGAAGGGGCTGTGGCCCTGCCCAGCTGAGTTCACGGGCAGGCACGGGATGAGTGGAACCTGAGCCTTGGCTGTGGCCTGGCTCAGAGGAGGCCAGAGTCCTCCTGGTCTTGATTCCTTAATGTAGGGTAGGTGAAAAAGAAGTCGCACGTGCCGAGGTTGCTGGCAAGATGCGCATGAAGGTGCTGCTAGTTTAGTTACTATTTAATGGTATTTTTATACCATAACCTACTTTGCTGCAAGCTAAGAATACATCTGCATGCTTGTACCGGACTCTTTCTTTTCTGGTAACAGTTGCTAGCAAGGACTTTGGTGGTGCTTGTTATATGAATGCGCTCGGTGTGTTAGGTACCAAGGTCACCCCAGCTGACAGGAGACTGTGGCCGGTAAAGGTCGCACAGGGTCAGGATTTGACTGCACAGTCTGCTCCTTGGCAAGGCCGAGGAACCTCCTCTGTTCTGTGTCTGACAGCGCTATTCCTCTGCTGGCTGCCTTGTGGAGGGCTCGTGGTCTATGCTGACCTCCTGCTCCCAGGCCCAAGCTGGTCCTCTGGCTCCTGCAGCTCAGGGCACTGCCCACAGCTCCGCAGGAACGTGGCTTTATCCACACCGTCTCTCCATGACAACTAACGCTTTGACCCCATTTGAGACCAACAAAGCTTGAAATTTTTATTCGATTAAACAAATTACTAGGACAATGTAGTATTATCATAAAAAAAGAAGTAATAGAGAAGTATGTGCCAGAAAATGTGACCTTTTACACTCATGTTCCTCACCCCCTAGCGGAACTGGAACTGTTTATTTTAATGTCAGTATCAGGATATGTGTGTGAGTGTATATGTAAATACACATACAAGTATTTATCCTGTTTATTTGTGTGTGTGGGGGGGTTGAGACAGTCTCACTGTGTAGTTCAGGCTGGCCTTGAACTCATGGAAATCCTCCTGCCTCAGGCTCCTGAGTGCTGGGATTACAGGCATGTGCCATCATGCCCAGCAGGATTTATATATGATTTTAAAACACAGATGCATCACCATGCATAAGACCCTGAAGTTTGCCCAGATGCTACTCCAGAAACACCCCCTACCAGTGACTCTTATGTGCGTGGGCTGCTAGGTGCTTAGCAGAGGTGTGTTTGCACACATTGGCCATATAGTATTTTCAACACCAAAATTTAGGACCTGTCCTCTGACAAACAGCAGAGAGCGAGAGGCCCCTGTGTTTGAAGTCTGGGCATGATGGTAAGTGGAAGGCCATTTCTCAGTGGCCGCAGGGTTAGGGTGCAGAGGTGCATGCATGCCTGCTGAGGTTGAGGTTGGTATCACTGAAGGAACTGAGGGATATATTCCTGCCTTTTTTCTCTCTGGAGTTCTGCAAGAATGGATGGAGGGAGATGCAGAGCCTGATTTTCTTCTTCTTTAAAATAAAAAATACACGTCTTTTTCTAATACTCCTTGTTCTCTTATTCTTACTCCATTGACCTTTTAAAAGCCTGGATGGAGCTACCTTGAAATTAAAAGTAATTTCATAGAAAAGACCATGCAGTGATAAATGTGAAAACTTCATCCTCAGCTGCTGGGGACCTATGCTTTACGGATTGGCGTAACAGTCCTAAAAGATCCTACACAACTGAAGTTAGGAGTCTTTGTTCAACCAGGTACGAGCTTTGGTTGAATTCTAGAGTGGATCATCGACAGCCAGACTGCAATTGGACAGTGTTTTATGGGTGTAGTGGTGTCCACACTGCCACCACGGTGCTGACCCCACCCTGAGCTGCATTGAGCCCGAGAGGGATGGAATGCTCTGTTCTGTTACCGTGCACATCTGGCAAGTGCCCATTTCTAGCACAGCATGG